AATATTGATTATTAAAAACTATATATATATAAATATCAAAAGTTATTTATCTATTATATCAAATCAAATAAAAACAAAAATTTATTTTGTTTTTTATTTATAAATTTTTTTATATATATAAAATGAATATTAATTATATCTATATATATATATATATATATATCAATATATCTAAAAAAAATCTAAAGTCTGGTATGAAAATATTGAGCACCGATGAGGACCAGTTCCTACGTATACTATGTGGCTATAGTTTTCCGCAATTGTCGGCAATATTCAGCCAGTATAGCAAACTGGCCGGTCATCCAATAGAGACGGCAATTGCTAATGAATTTTCTGGTGATTTACTCACTGTATTCAACGGCATTGGTATTTCAATATTGATTATTATTATTATTAAAAACTATATATATATAAATTTTTTTAAAAATATCAAAAATTATTTATCTATTATATCAAATCATATAAAAACAAATTTATTTTTTATTTAGTTATGATTGCCAACAATATTGCCTACTATTATGCCGTACGACTGTATTCATGCATTCATAGTATGGGAACCGATGACTAAATCATTACCAAAATATTATTTATTGTTTTTTTAAATAATTTATTTGTTTTAAATTTTAAAATATTAAGATTTCAAATTAATAAATTAATTAAATATAGAATTTTATTAACACACACACATATATATATATATATTAAATTAAAAACTATTTAATACTGTAATTTATTAATTTTTAACTTTTATAAAATATTTTTATAAATTAAAAAATGAATATTATATATTTACAATTCAAAATTAAAAATATTTTTAATAAAAATTATATTTATCTACTTATTTACTATACTTATATATTTATTTAAATTAGTAATTAATTATTAAAATATCTTATTACAGTAAGTTTTACAACATGTCAATTATTTATTTTGAAAAAAAATTAATTTTTAAAAATAATATATTAATTGAAAGTAATAATATCATTTTTCTTTATTGAATTGTAAATCTAATTAAAAAAAATTGTTTAACTTAAATATAAATTAAAATTATAAATACCTATTTTTTGTGAACATTTTTTATTTTTTCGACTTCAATTTTTATTAGCGATGTTTTAACAATTTTATATCGTCTAATAAAAACTACAATCACTACTAAACTTAACTAAAAGTTTATCAAAACATAACTAAACTGAGAAAAGTTATGTAAAACATTAAAACTCTCTCTCTCTCTCTCTCTCTCTATATATATATATATATATAATTGTATCTAATTTACATGAGCAATGTGATACTATGTAATATATTATAACATAGGGTAAGCATAGGAGTGAGTGAGTCGAGGGTAGCGGGGAGGTATAGTAGTGTTACCCCCTCCAAAATATTGAAAATTTTACCCCCACCTTCACCCTAATTTTAACAAATACAAAAAAAATTAAACAATTAAAACAGACTAGAAATTTATAAATTATTTCTAAAAATATTTTAAAAATTTAAATTTATAATTTTAAATACATAATGGAGTCATAAATTATTTAATTAATTTTACAATGTTTATTTAAATTAATAATAAAATATATGATAAATATATTTTTATTTTAAATCTAAAATATGATAAAAACTTATTTATTTATTTTAATAATTACGATATTTTAACAAAAATAAAATAAAAATATTAATAGTTTTAAAATATAATGAATTTTTTTATTATAAAATATACCATTTGAATGACTATTATATTAAATTAATTTTAAGTAAAAAAATTTAAAAATGTTATTTATTATGATATTATATTTATTTTATATAAATATATTTTAAAAATATAAAAATAATAATCAAATGTATTATATATTTAAATTTAAGTTGTATATATAAAATATTATAATTTTTATAATATATATATATATATATATAGTAGTCTGTCATATTATATATATCATATATATATCTTATTTATATAGATTATAATTTTAATATTTTATAAAATATATTATTTAAATTACTAAAAATCTTACTTAATAATAACTTATTTAAAGAAAATAAAGGATAATTTAAAAATATTTTTTTTTAAAAATGTAATAAAATTTATTTCCCAAAAACAATGCAATCCAACCCTCCTAACAAATATACATGATTAACCCTGATATATTTGTATAAGAGGTACTCATTTTATAATTGGTTGAAATTTCTATGAAACGGTCAATCATATTATAAAGTATTATATATATATAATATATATTATAAACTAGTAATACATTTGTTTTACAAATATTATACAACAATAATACTTTAAATATATAATTTGTATAAATATAAAAATCAATAAGAAATTCAAATAATTAAAAACAATCTTTATTTATATTATTTTATTTTATTTCGTAATAATTTTTTTAAAAAAAAAATATTTTCAGTCTCTAATCTCATTTATAGGCATTTATTTAAATAAATACAAATATATTACATATAAATTATAAAATCAAATAAAATTATTTTATTTTGTTTT